GGGACCCACATTTTCCCTCGTCCTCCTTTTATCACTAACATACCTATAGAAGCTTTTCTTGTTGCCCTTGACATCCCTGGCCAGATTTAATTCTATCAGGGCTTTGGCTTTCCTAACGTGATCCCTGGATGCTCGGACAGTTTCTCTGTATTCTTCCCAGGCTACCTGCCCTTGCTTCCACCCTCTGTAGGCTTCCTTTTTTTTTGTTTGACTTTGCCCAGGAGCTCCTTGTTCATCCACGTGGGCCTTTTGGTGTTTTTGCTTGACTTCCTCTTTGTTGGGATGCATCGCTCCTGAGCTTGGAGGAGGTGACCCTTGAATATTAGCCAGCTGTCTTGGGCCTCTCTTCCCTCCGGGACTTTGTCCCATGGTATTCTACCAAGCAGACCCCTGAAGATGACAAAGTCTGCTCTGCTGAAGTCCAGGGTAGTGAGCTTGCTGCGTGCCCTCCTCGCTGCCCTGAGGATCCTGAATTCCACCGTTTCGTGGTCAGTGCAGCCAAGGCTGTCCTTGAGCATGACGTCCCCTACCAGGCCCTTCTTATTGGTGACAATAAGGTCCAGCATGGACCAGATAGATGAAAAGAGCTCCTTTTTTCTGACAGCTGTTAGCTTACACTAAAGCAAACAAATAGAAAGCTTTGGATAGTATGACCAGGCTATCGTTTGAGCAGCTGAAACACTCCAGAAGCACTTCTTTGTCTGTAGGTGATGTATCAAGCACTGCTTGAGCCTGAAGTTGGAGATAGGAACAAAACTACAAGAGGAGGAGTGTGGGGATTTTCTGATTTTTTTTCACTACTGTTTAGTAGTGAAAGCTACCGTGCCTGCCCTGGTACATCATTATAAATATTTTTCTTCCTAAAGATTTAAATCACTCGACATAACCATTTTCAATTCCCTCACAGGTTCTTCACAGCCAAATTTCCTCCATTGAGAAACAGGCCACCACTGCCACTGGTTGCCCATTGCTGATCCGGTGCAAGAACTTCCAGATCATCCAGCTGGTCATCCCTCAGGAACGAGACTGCCATGACATTTACATATCTCTGATACGTCTGGCACGACCAGGTATGGGAAAGAAACTGGCACAAAAGTCAATCCTCATCCTGAACAGGGAGAATGTAATGGAAGAAATGTAGCTGTGCATGTTTGTCCTTTGCAGGTTAAGAAAAAAGCCTTAATTAGAGATGTGTTATGAAAAAAATGGTCTCTGAGCAGACACCATTTTTATCTACTGTGTAGAGGGGGAAAAAATTGCACAGTCAGCCAGCACGGCTACTGAACTTTATAAAGTACCTTCTATAATTAGGATGGGTAGTAGTAGTAGTAGTAATGTGCAACTGCAGCAGCTGTAACTTGATCTGCTAGGTGATGCAAGATCAAAGTTATCAGAAAAATTTAAAAACAATGAGACAAAGTCAGTCAGAGGTTCTGCTGATGTAAATCTGGATTAATTCCATGGACCTCAGCTGCAAGTATGTGTTTGTGCATGCTG